TACATAAAGTATATTCATTTGCTTCAAATTAAAATGGGCTAATGGATTTTAAAATGATTTGGGCTTAAAAATTAAAATTATGAAATAATCTAATTTATTCAATTAATTTGCTAATTTGTATAGGAAAAAAATAAAATAATTTAATTAATTCAATATAAAAAATAAAAAAATTATTTAGTTTCGGTTCTTATTCGGTGCTTCGGTTCTTGGTCTAGACCCGAGACCCGACCCAAACCCATCGGTTCTCGATTCGGGTACCCGTTCGGGTATTTAATTTATGAAGAACCGCTCGGTTCGGTTTGGTTCGGTCCGGTTCGGTTCGGGACTTTTGGACACCCCTATTTTTCACTGCTTTTGGTTTATCTGTCAAAAGAACCAATGAGTTCAAATTCTTTGTAATTGCATTATATCACATTGACATGATAAGATGCGAAGAAGTTTTATGCTGATTATCAACCTGACTTAACTCTCCTACTTTTTCATGTCATGTTTTTTATGAAGCATAGTAATGATCTAGAATCTTCAGTCGCATAAATTCTATTAGCTGATAGCTTTATGCTTGAACCTAGAAACTTCCAATTTGACTTAATTCACAGACTACTAATGGTTGCATTATGCGTACGTCTAGTAATGACTTTTGTTCCCAAGATTATTTTAGAGTTATTCTTCTCCACTATCACATCTCTTCTTCCATCTATTACTTGCCTGTTTATGTGCATTCCGAGATTTCTAATCGCATAAGGGTATGTGCCTTCACTTCTTTTGTCTACCCCATAGTAGTATAAGGGACAAAAAATGCTCCTATTGATTTTAATATTTCCATTTATGATGATTTTGTTTTGTGGAGATTAATTTCTTTGGCTTTCATTATTGTTCACTACTATTTACTGGCCTTTCTTCTTGAGCAACAATTTTGTCAACTTTCCTTGGAACATTTGTGGCAGTTAACTGGTAGGTTTAAGAGTAACTGACTCTCATTTCATGAGAATTACAGAGTGTTCTCTACATAATTTCAGTTTATTTTGATTGAATTTGCCCTTTAGCCCATGTATTTACACAGAGCACTTATTACACAACATTTTCTCAGCAGCTATCTCTTTGTCCCTGTGTGTTAATTGATGCTTGCATGAATGTTGTGTTTCTATGAGTAAGTTACGCAGACATCTGAATTTGAACATTTCAGTAGTCTTGTAGTCTTCAATGCTTTCACTATATCCAGCTCCTTCTGATTGCAAATCATGCCCAGAGGCTCGTATTTTAGCGCTGAATCTTGAATTTCCACCATTAATATTTATCGTAGTTACCTCCAGAGGCAATAATTACTTGCTCTCTTACTTTTGTTCCATTGTATCGTGATTAACTCCTAATTCTTAAATACCCATGACCCCTGAACTTCATATAGATATCTCTGAACAAGTTCTCGAGAAACTTGTCTGACGACTGATAAATTTAACTGTTGATTTTGTAAATTAGAGGGGATGGTCAATCATTATCTTCTGAGATTCTGTTGGACTGTTTTTCAGCAAGTTTTTTACAGAGTTGTCTGACATGCACAATCATTCGCATTTTCCTATTCATTTCTGAGTTGGTAGACTCTGTGTTGGAAGATCTGCTATCAATGTTAATGTATTCTGGGATAGTGATTGTGCACTGAGTTTTTCATTTTGTAGTCATGTGATAGCTTCGCTTATGAATATTTTATATGTGATGCAGTTTTGATATTTTTGGTTTAATATTATAGTTCTTACTTGAACTCAAATTTTCACTCGTTGCTGCATTATTGGGAAGATTACTCATTGGTNGGACCAGGGCCTGTACCTCCTCATCCTGTGGCCCTGGAATAGGAACTTTAACTCCAGCACAGAGACATTAAAAGGCTTCTTACTGAAAACAGACACGTGGTTGATGACAATGTGATGCTTCAAAGGGAATTGACTGCAGTGAAAGATGAGATTCACAGCATAGGTCAGGTCATTCCTAAATTGCGTGCTGACAGACATATTCAAACAAGGGAGTTGATTGAAAGAGGATTGAAACTAGAGGCCGAGCAGTGCAATTAAGAGATGAAGCTCAGAAATTAAGTACTTTGAGGCAGGAATTATCATCCCAAGTTCAAACTCTGACAAAGGATATTAATCGAATGCAAGCTGAGAATCTGCAAATAGCTGCCTTAAAAACTGACATTGATAAGATGGGAAAAGAGCTGGTTGATGCTAGGTAAGAATTTTGATTGTTAATCGATTATCGGCGTGCTAACTTGCAACGCCCATCACTGCAATAGATGCTGACACACGCACTCAAATACTCCAAAGCAAACAGAATTAATGGCTGCCATATCTATCACTCGATTGCTATTATGAATTTTTGAATTGAATAAATTATTGTCCATGCTATGTCGTATGGGTGTCGTGTAGCAGTGTCTCCATACTTTATATTTGATTGCATGGACAAACTTTAACTTTGTTAAACCATTTTGCTTTATTTCTATGGTAAACTGATGTCTATGCTTTGTCAAAACGGTTCAAAATGAATATCCAAATCTATTCAAATATTTTAGAACAGGTTAAATAGATTTAATGTACTTGATAAATTTATGATCATTGAAGAATAGTGGACAAGTGGCCTGTGCTGTTTCTGAATGCTAGTGGATAATTTGTGCATTTCAAAGAGTTTTAACATAGCTTCCATGATCTTGTAAACTAAAAGTACGTTGAATGCCTTCTCTGTTATACTACATTGGACAAATTGGTCTATACTCATATTCTGCAAAATTGTTGAGCTTGATGCCTTCTTTCAAGTGCAAATTGTGTTACCCAATAATTTGTTTGGGCATGTCCTATTTTGAGCAAGTCTTTTCTGCTGCATCTGGTTACACACAACATAGGAGAATGTATGAATATGAGAAGAAAGGAAACGAGGAACTGGTAGAACAAAATCGATCAATGGAGAAAAATCTCCTGTCCACGGCTCATGAGATAGAGAAGCTACGTGCTGAGCAAGCAAGTGTAGAAAGGAGGGCTCGAGGAGGTCATGGCAATCTCTCTCTCTCTCTCTTCTCCCCACAGCACATGCACCCGATACGAGTTAGGTTCTGCTCTTATTTCTGTCTCTAACGTCGACAAACCAAGTTTCCTTGACATCACTTTTCCGTTTTACAGGTGTTGGGGGTTACCATATGATGAATGGAAGTCCTGAAACAAGATATCCTGGTCCATATGGTGATGTATATGGTGCCGGACCATGGGGGATATATGATAAACATGGACATCCTCGACACTGATCCTTCAATTAAATGCTGTGGTACTGGAAGGATCATTTACCAATTTCTCTCATATGCAAACAGTGTAGCTTTTCATTGCCATATGGCACCAATTTTATTTCTTTGAAATTGGAAATCAATGAAAATTCTGGTATAATTTACTGTGAATCTAGCTTCTTGTGTCTTTTCTTTTTTTCCTGGTGAAACCTTTGAATCGACATAATTGGTTATCGTGTTGTGTGAATGTGCCTAGAGGCTAGATAATATAGAAAAATTTTGCATCAGGCCAATATAATCCGCAAAAAGTAATTTTAATTCCTAAATTAGACGACCTTGACCATCTACTACGAGTACAATTAATTGAAATTGAAAATATCAGAGCAGACGCGGCCTTGACTCACAATTACAGATAACTGTATGGGAGTCTACCGTTTCCACTCATTCCAAGCTAACAAAAGGCCTGATGGCACAAGTTTCAGCTGTAAATCAACCATTTTTTCTACCTCTCTATCTCACGAAATAAATAATCAAAATGCAGTAGCTCACACTTTTTAAGTAGGAAAATGGGGAAAATATGAAAAATGAATAAATAAACAGAGTACTGATAAACTATGATGTGAAACTAAGCAATTTGTCTAATGTTGGAAACGGGTTTTTTGGCCTTCAAAACTTTTGAAATCGATCGAACTGTGGAAGGTGTGGTTCGACAGCAGCCACCAATGAGTTTTGCTCCAGCATCTCGCCATTTTGGGGCAAATTGCACAAACTTTTCATCATCAAAACATTTTGATGGCTGCCCATAAAATCACAAGAACTATTAATTGATACACTGCATGCCTTAAAATGCAATAAAAAATGGGTTTGAAGAGATTTAACGATACGCACAAAGAAAATTAGATATCATCAAAGTAAATGTATTACTCACCAGCCATCTTTTAGCAGTGCCATCCCATATTTCACCACTGTTGGGGTACACAACTATTGCCTTATCAGTTAACTGCAGATGCATTTTCATTTCAGGTCAGCTTCGAATAAATTTCAATTTCTTTTCTTTTCAATGTATTATTTTTTATTTTATTGAATAATTTACCTCTTTGAATCTCTGGATGAGACTTAATATAAAATGTGGTGGTGCACAGTTTATTCCGACCGCACTAACTTTGTTACTCTTGTTTATCATGTCAAGGCATTCTCTAAAGCTTTCTCCTGAAGGTGCATTCTCACCGTCTACAGAGCTGAAACAGATCCAAGATGGAATCTCAATGTTTTCTTCGTCAAGCAACTCCACACAAGCCTGTTTATTAAATTTAAGATGGCAAAAATGTTACAAGAACGAATGAGGTTACATGTTTACAGTCATCATCCTTTTTTTCTCTTGGATTTCTAAGGCAGACCATGTGCATTTATATCCAGATGCTTATGTTATGCGGTTATGTCGTCAGATTTCTTAAACATGAATGGCAGTCCATGTGCCATTAAATATAAGCATTGAATCAATCAAGATATTGTATTGTACTGAAAAATAAGTAATCCAATCTATTTGTAAAATCAACAAGTCTACAAATTGGTCCTCATACAGTATTAAAATTTCTGAAATTTTTGTTAGTATCAAATGGTTAAATATTAGCATACCTGAGCCTCCAGTTTGTTTGGAATGGTCTCAAATGCAAGCAAATCTGGCCCTGCTTCCACAAGAACTTGCAATCTACGCCGATGAAAATCCTTCAACTTCTCTATACTTACGTTCGGTCCATAGTTCCCACTGAAACAAAAGATAGGCGGAAATCAGTGACACTAAAAATATTATCAATTTTGTAGGGATTATCTTCAAATCTATTATTTCGACCAAAACAATCATTGGCACGCACCTGTATTCGGAACCATCGGCAAGATATGCACCGTAGCTTCCAATAGAGGCTGCAATCAGAGCCCTGTTGTAATTATGACCAGAACTCCTCTTCTTTGAAGCCCAGAATTTATCCCGGGCTTCGACTGCAATTGTGACACTTTTCTCAAGCAGTGACTCTGCTTCTTCAACGGACAGCCCTCTGGATAGAAATCCTGGAAGAGTGGCCTATTCATTTGCCAAACAAAAAAGCCAACATAAGTGTTATCTACAGATCCAACAAAAACTTTGATAACATTAAGATTCAATGTACGCAAGAAACTATCCCCTTTTCCTTAAACCTAGAAGACAGAACAAATCAGATGGTGCATAGACAGATATGATTAACTCGATAGGACTGCACATGATTAAAGGAGAGAACAATAGTTGTCCAATTCGATTTTGTCGGAATTTTAAATCCATTATTGGGTACCAAATATATTGAATAGACATCATTTGTGCATTGTCAGTTTTCGTAATTAGCCCTTTATAACATTTACAACTAAAAGCACATCAAATCCTAGGATCGCAAAATCAAATTCTAAAAGTTGAAGTAGAAATCAATATTCATAACAACCAAATAAACATCGACAGTAGAAATGTAGAAGAACAAACTTGATAAGATGAAGTTACTAATATATCTGCACCAGCTTCCAAGTACTCCAAATGAACCTGCACTCATAAAAACAAAGTTCAAATGATCAAATCAATCAAATTCCGCATAGTGTGTGCGCAGGGTTATATATAGACATGAACATGTAGTGTGTGTGCAGGGCTATGTACCCTTTTAATGAGATCGGGGTCTTTGATTAGACAAAGAGCACTCCAAAGAGGGTCATTAATGGAGGCGCCGTGTTTCTCAAGTTGGGTGGCGAAACCACCATCCACGACGGCACAACCGCCGGACTTCTCTAGCAGATCCTCCAACAACAGTGCATGTACTTTTTCTCTCCCCATTTCTCCCTCTTTCTCTCTGTAAAGAACCAAAAAAGGGTTCTTGAAAGAACAATAAGGACTTTATGGTGCCGGGGAGACGTGATTTTAAATAAGGGGTCGGTGAAGGAGAAGCATATAGATAGCTTGTTTTGCTGTATTTGCTGTTTTTTTATATTTGTCAACGCGGACGCTTTTTGCATACAGGTTCTTGCTTGGCATCCATTTGGTCTGTATTCCGTGTTCTGTTCATATTTGCTTTTAGGGGGAAAAAAATACTTATTTGAGTTCGGGTAAATTCCACCGGGATCAGCAATTATTCGTAAACGTGACACTCATGTCTTTGACGGACGAAAAATGCTTAGTTGCACGTTAAATGGTTACATGACCTGTGATGTTAGATTGAAAGGATAAAATTGTTCCAAACGTATTTCTTTTATTTTAAAATTGAGTGACTGTGATTTTATGTTTCATTAACAAATGCGAATAGAGTAAAAAATTTCAATGTTAATGATACATATCCCCCTAACTTCACTCTCTCGTGTCACACGATCTTTAACGTTCAAATAAATGTTTTATGTTACTAGGAAAAGTTTGGGACTTTTGTGCAATAGATAGTAAGTTGAGGACATGGTGCCACACTTAAGAAAGTTTGGGGATTCCTGGTGGGGGTTCCCTTTTTTACTTATGTTTTGATTATAGTTGAAAATAAGTAATTATTTACGCTAATTTCAGGAATGAAATTTTAGTTGAAAAAACGCCTAGAGGTCACCATGAATAAAATTTTATTATAGTCATTCAACTTTTACTTATTTCAAACTCATCACTCAAGTTTCAATTTCATTTTAACTTGATCACTAATAACGAGTCCACCACAAAATTTAACATGGTAGAGAGATTCTCTTACTTTTTTTTATATAATCGTGGATGTTCGGGCCAACTTGTGCGCACCTCGACTAATTCCACGGGACCCTAAAGTTTACGGCCGGATACTCACCTCAGTGGTTCTGAGAGGATTCGAATTGGTGACCATTGGGGAATAAACTCAAGATATGACCAATTGAGCAACCACTCAAGGTTGAGAAATTCTCTTACGTGGACTCATCTTAACCTTAGTTTCTACATTAGTTAGGCAATAATGCAAATTGCAACATGAAAGTCATGCCATTAAAATTCAATTTTGCACGAAGTTAGTTATCGTCTAAACAAAATTTTTAAAGTTGAAAATGCACAATCAAATAACTAACTCTATTAAAGCTCATAACGTACATGCAAGTAATTCATTTTCCATGTAGGGATGACATCTATTGTGATAGAATCATTATCGTGACCAAATAGAAACTAAATAAAGACGAGTTAGGTAAAAATAAAGATGAGAGAGATTAAAATAAAATTTCCACCCCAACGTTTTCGGGCTATTATCCTTTTGTTGGGCTAATTTCACCTACCCATTTTTCATTTATTTTTTTGGTCCCCATATTTGTACAAATGTTATTTTCACTCACCTACCAAGATAATTGATTTTATCCATTTTTATTTTATTTTTGGTACAAAGACCAATTTAATTCACCTACCACAATTGATTTTTTCTTTTTTATTATCTTGGATTTCATTTCTTTTTTGGGGGTTTATCATTTATGCATATACTTTAGCACGAAATTGCAGTTTATAATGTTTAGTATCTGCAAGTTCAATTATTCTGATTACAAGAATCGTGAGAGATTTTGATTCTATATAATATGATAAATACCAAAAATATGCATAGATTTCATTTTAGGTTTACGCTTTTTAGAACATTGCCTTGAACTATTATTAAGAAAATTATTTGATATATTTAGTACAGTAGACCGAATATATCTATACAACATTAAATAAAAGACTATATCGGGCACTTTGATATAATAGAAGATATTGAATGGAATGATTTTGACATTTTGAATATCAATTTATTAGGAAAAAAACCTTCTCCTACTTTTGTATTGAGAATTTTTCTGATAGGATATTAGAGATCTTTTCCGTGGAAATGAAAAATTCACCTTCCGGATTTTATCAACTAGCAAATTCTACCTTTGTTAGTCAAATGAATGAAATTAGCTGATCTTATGATGATACTAGATAGTATATATATTGTTACGGGAGAAATAAATGGTTGAAACTAGGGACGGAGCCAGGAATTAATGGTATGGGGGGCAAAAATTTTTAAAATTTAATGTAGGAATAAAAATTTATATAAAACAAGAAAAATTGTAATATAATATAACCTATTACAGTTGCACCGGGCGATGTTTTATAGCACAAAATTCATCTATAATAGAATTCCTAACATTATAACATATGTAATAAGCACAGAGCTCTCATTTTAAAAATTTAACATTGCTAAATTCACAAACTAACATTTCCTAAATAAATTTCCAATTTAACATAATTTTTAATACGCCCTTCAAGCATTTTCACCAAGACAAAACTAGAATATTTAGCACGATTATCTATATTTCTACATACAAAGATATACATATCCATTGAGAACCAATTTTGCCAAGCATTGAGAATTCTTTACAACTTTTATGACCTATTGACAATTCTAAATGTCCTGCATCACATGTGAACAAATAAAAATCCCATGATTCATAGCTAAATCACAACTTTTATCCTCAATTTTCACTCAGTCACGACTAAATAAAAATCATTAAAATACATCAAAATGAATATAAGTTTGCATAAATAAACAAATTGAACAAATAATTCGAATCCAAAACAATTTCAAAAATAGACGAAGAATCTTTAGACTTCAACCCATCACAAAAAAAGGAGAAGAAACAAGATATTAAGAATAGTAGTCAGCTAATTCATCATTAATAAATCATAAAACTGTAGTATATGTCGAAGAGACCATAGAAAGGGTTTGGGAAGTAATTGGGTTTTCAAATGGGCTACAATAGTGGGCTTGAACTGTTGAACAATAAGGGGCTACAACCAATTTACATTTATTTAAAGTGGAAATTACATAATTCCTTCCTTTTCAATATCTATATTCTAAAATCAGATGTTTAAATTTTCAAAAATCAAATATTTTTTAATTAGATACATTATAATTATATATATTACAATCATATAATATAATTACCCAAACTCACCATAATTATTTCATCTCATTTTCTCTCCTCTCTCTATCCCCGACGCAACCACACAGCCCCACACTATCAGCACCACCACTGCTGGCACCACCTCCCCAGCGACACCACCACCTCCATCACAAGTAGCTTCGACGACCCTACATCATTTGGTCCTCTGCGTAGAACTTGACATGATACGTACATAGAGAGCTGAAAAAAGAAGGTAGCAGCTTATATTTCCAGAAATGGATCTGAACCCTGTAAGTTTCATCTTTCATTGCTTTCTCCACAAATACTCACCGACATAATTTCAAGATAAAACTTACTAATTGCTGCAATCACTCTGAAACATAGTATAGAAATGCCATCGACTTGGATTTATGTTGTAGATTTGTTATTTGAATCTATTTTTAGATATTAAATCCAATTTCTGGAGCCAAATAGTTCTTGGGTACCTCATATTATTGGGTTTCGAATTCTAAATTAATTAAAGGCTGGAGTTGTTGGATTCATGGTTATGATGCCGGGATTCTAATTCGCATTTTTTCTCCAATTATTGTATTTGAAAATTGGGGTTGGAAATTGCGAGACCTTTGAGAGAATATCGGTTTAAGCAATTAGATTCAATNTTGGAAATTGCGAGACCTTTGAGAGAATATCGGTTTAAGCAATTAGATTCAATGTAATTTTATTGCTTACAAGGAGAAAATCTCGTGTTTCTGATACCCGTTTATTATTAAACTGTGACATTAAAATTTGATAATATGTGATTAAAAAATATTTTGCGACCAATAAAAAATTTGTTGTGATCGAAAAAAATACGCGACCTATTATTTTAATAAGTTGTGACTTATAAAATATGTGATTTGTGACAAACAATAATGCGTGACCAATTAATTTGAGAATGTCACAAATAAAATAAATGAGTTGCAACTAATAAAATTTTGGATTTGTCATCGATACATAATATGTAACCTAAAAATTGTTACTGTGAATCACAATTTATTAAGTTGTAATCGAGAAGTGACCAATAAAAATGTTTATTTTGTGATTGATGAATAAGTCGCGACTTATAAAATTTTCTATTTGTGATCGAGAAATACCTATAAAAATAAAAATGTTGATATTGTGATCGATGAATAAGTCGTGACTTATAAAATTTTCGATTTGTGACTGAGAATTGCCTATAAAATTCTTGATTTGTGACCATAAAATAAGTTGTGAGCAATAATTTGATAAATTGTAATCGATTTGCAATAAATAAATGAGTTACTAAGGTCACAGGTTTGAATTCTCAAGTCACTGTCATTTAGTATAAATCACAAATCAATATAAATGGGTCACGGATCAGTATGATCAATTAATTTGATAGTTAGCTATGGCTAAATAATTCGTCGTTAAGGTCATAGATCATTGTCACGGGTTTGAGTTCACAAGTCAAAGTCATTTTTTATAAGTCACAAATCAATATTAACAAGTCACGTGTATTTGTAGAGTCACGGTTCAAATTTACAGGTCACATTTTATATTTCTAGGCACAAGCAACAATCAAGAGGCCAAAAATCGTGTCAACTATATAAAAAAAATATA